ATCATTGTACTTCGTTCAGTTACGTATTGCTTACTCGGTTAATTAATCATACTTGGAGCTGGCGGACTGAGTCGCCCCTGGTGGTCTGGCGCTCAAGATTAGAAGAAACGCAAGTCCAGAAAAACCGTGAGGGCAAACTTTTCAGGTGAGGTTGTAACTCTTAGACAATCACCAGAGAGTGTTGTGGCGGCACGAGTGTGAGCTCTTTCAAGAAGACTTGAGCCAACACTGGGAGGCGGGTTCAGGTACATTCAGGGCAGTGCATGCCCGTGTACCAGCAGTGCGTGGCAGGCGTGACCCGATCACTTGAGGCGGCTAAGCTGACGATCTTTTGGTGAAGAATATAAATGAAAAAGAGAGCGTGACCGATAAGCTAGCGGTATAAGCCGATCGATGGTGAAGAGGATAAAAGTAAAATAAGTAAAAAGTAAACAAAATTCGAAGCGACAATCTAACAAAAAGTACACAAAAAGACCAAAACGGGAAAACTCTTTGAAGAAAAAATAGAATCCATACAGGAGAGAATGGAAAAAGTGTTTCAAATATCAGAAGAAGAAAATGAGCAATTTGATGATTTGAAAATCATATCTACAGAGAAGTGGCTGAAGTAGTGCATAGGATAACAATACCATGTAATTGGACAAAATGAGGCTCAACTCAATGAGACCAATTACAGAGAACTTTACACTACATCAGACACACTAAAGAGAAAAAGCACCAGGATTCACAAAATCTACAAAATATGATCTCTTGCCTACCCAACAACGTGCACACAAGGCGTCATTGAAATATTAAACTCAGCTTTGGCAAGTGGATACCTCATTGTGCATTCAAAATGCAAAACTCATATTCATACTGAAACCAGCTAAAGACTATCCTCAAGTAATTAACTACAGATCGATTTCTCTGCTCCGAAGCTATGGGAAAGAAAAACTATTTGAAAAGGCAATAAACGTGAGAATCAAGAAAACACAGGAGCGAAAACGGACTACTAAACCCAGACAACACGGTTATTTGGCGTATGGTATGTGGCAGTTGTCAAATTCTCTTTATATGGGCTCACACCGTACATACATGTAATATATCTAACACTCAGGATTGAGGTAGAATAGAAACCCACAATGCGTTTTCTGTATATATATATATATTGTTGTACAGTGCAGTGTTAAGGAGTTACTAGGTGAGGAGAAGCTTGCTCAGAGTTCCTGTTGGGCGAGGAGCTTCCTGAGGGAGCTGGTTGGTGAGGAGCTGTTGAGAGGTCTTGCTGGTCCAGTCGCTAAGTGTAGAATGACCTCCCCGGCCAGCCTGTCCCATATTTATATGATTCTGCTGCTTCAGGAATTGAGGCGCACGAGAGCCAATCACGGAGTAGAACAGGTGGTGGAAACTCTCTGATCCTGAGCTAGGTGGAAGGTCAAGACTGGAGTCAGCGATCGTACCCTCCTCTCCTTACTGACCTAGTCTCAGTGTAACTGGCTGTGCGCTGATTGGCTGGTAAGCGTGGCAGGAGCTCAGTTGGTAGTTGTAGGGGAAGAGGATCCACTACAATACTCCCCTCCCGTCCGGCGTGGCAGGGAGGCACGCTTGGCGACTCTGTCTAGTGACACAAAACTGTGGGAGAATCAGGGGGAGAAAGAGGGTTTTTGATTAGAGGTTGTACAGGCAATGGTTGTGCTGCTGCCGTGGCAGGAGCAAAGTCCTCAGGGTCACTGGCTGGGTTGTCTGGGTCCCGTCAGTGTAGGGGCCCGACAGCAGCAGGTTCTCCAACCAGCAGGGTCCGACAGCAGCAGTGTCTGACGGCAGCAGTGTCACGACAGCAGCAGGGTCCCTACAGCAGCAGGTTCTCGACAGCAGCAGGTCCACGACAGCAGCAGGGTCCGACAGCAGCAGGTTCTGTACGACAGCAGCAGGGTCCAGCAGCAGCAGGGTCCCGACAGCAGCAGGGTCGACAGCAGCAGGGTCCACGACAGCAACAGGGAGGTCCACTACAGCAGCAGGGTCCACGACAGCAGCAGGTTCTCTGACAGAGCAGGTTCTCTGACAGCAGCAGGGTCCCGACAGCAGCAGTCCACGACAGCAGTAGGGTCCGCGACAGCGGTGGAGTTCGACAGCAGTGGGGTTCAACGGCAGCAGGGTCCATGACAGCAGCAGGTTCGACAGCAGCAGGGTCCACGACAGCAACAGGGTCTGACAGCAGCAGGTTCTCTGACGCAGCAGGGTCTGACAGCAGCAGGTCCCGACAGCAGCAGGTTCTGAAGCAGCAGGGTCCACGACAGCAACAGGGTCCAAAATGCAACAGGGTCCACGACAGCTGGCAGGGTCCACACGACGCCAGTGGGGTCCGACAGCAGCAGGTTCCCGCTGAGCTTGGCGGGTTTCACGACGTTAGCAGGGTCCATGACAGCAGCAGGTTCTACCACAGCAGCAGGGTCGACAGCAACAGGGTCCACGACAGCAGCAGGGTACATGACAGCATTGGGGTCGACAGCAGCAGGTTCTCGATATTGCCAGGGGTTCACTATTGCAGAGGGTCGCAACAGCAGCAGGTTCTCGACAGCAGCAGGTTCCACGACAACAGCGGGGTTCTACGACAGCAGCAGGTCCATGACAGCGAGTGGGGTCCATGAGGCGCTTGGGGTCACGACAGCAGCAGGGTCCATGACAGCAGTGGGTCGACAGCAGCAGGGTCTGACAGCAGCAGGGTCCATGACAGCAGTGGGGTCCGACAGCAGCAGGGTCGACAGCAGCAGGGTCCACGACAGCAACAGGGTGCAGGACAGGAGCAGGGTCCTGACAGCAAGGTCCACGACAGTAACAGGGTCCACGACAGCAGCAGGTTCTTACTACAGCAGCAGGGTCCAATTACAGCAACAGGGTCCTTACAGCAGCAGGTTCCACGACAGCAGCAGGGTCCACGACAGCAACAAGGGTCGACAGCAGCAGGTTCTCACGACAGCAGCAGGGTCCACGACAGCAGCAGGGTCCTGACAGCAACAGGGTCTGACAGCAGCAGCAGGGTCTGACAGCAACAGGGTCCTGACAGCAACAGGGTCCACGAGCAACAGTGTGCAGGACATGGCGGAGTCGGCAAGGCTAGGGTCCACTGACAGCAACAGGGTCCATGACAGCAGCAGGTTCTACGACAGCAACAGGGTCCACGACGGCAACAGGGTTCTGACAGCAGCAAGTTCTCACGACAGCAGCAGGGTCCGACAGCAGCAGGGTCCACGACAGCAACAGGGTCCACGACAGCAGCAGGGTCCTGACAGCAAGTTCTACGACAGCAACAGGGTCCACGACAACAGCAGGTTCTCGACAGCAGCAGGGTGCAGGACAGGAGCAGGGGCTACCTAGAAAAGAGGGTGCCCAGGAAATGTCGTGGGCGGGTGTGCTGCAGGTGGTAACTGGCAGTTGACTGGGTGCAGGCATAGTTTGTTGGGGGTTGTCGCTGGGCTGGCGGCCCAATGGGTAAGGTGGTCGCAGCTCGACTCGGTCTATGCTAACGCTGTCGTTCGCTTATTCGATAATCGTCAGGAACTTCACTGAACGTGTAATAACCTGAAAAGGGTCCATCGTGGGGCGTTGTAGTGGTTTGCGGTGAGCATCATGCCTGACGAAAACTCTCGGCAGTGCAGGAGGGATGTGTTCAGGGGCCCGAGGAGGCTGGCGTGGGCAGTAGCCTGAATGCAGAAACTGCTTGTCGTGAAGCTTTTTGGAGTATGTGTGACGAACAGCAGGAGTGGATTGGTGGAGGTCAGGAGGTAGTGAGACTTTCACGTGAGCAAGGGCTCGCTTAGGGTGAGATCTGCTGGGCTACAGTCCATATCCTCCGTGTGAAGCACGGATGCCAAGGAGCATAAGGGTAGCATATCCGTCCAGCTGTCAGGGTGCTGTGCCTTGAAGGTGCATACTTCATGCCGGTGAAACCACTCTACCATGCTGTTGGATTGAGCGTGGGTACGGGTAGTGCGTTGCCCAGAAGTGCCAAGGAACTGTAGGAGGTGCTGCCAGAGTTGTGACTCAAACTACTCCTCGGTCAGTGATTGCTGGTGGGGGCCGAAAGAAAACCCAACCCGGACATGAAGGGCGCGGACAGTAGTAGTCTCTGCTGTAGCATTGGGCATGGAATTGCTTCTGTCCACCTGGTGAAACGGTGATGCAGGTGAAGATGTAGGTGCTACCGTAAGATGATGGAAGAGGTCCCACGATGTCGAGGTGTACTACTTGAAACGTCCTTGAAGGAGTGAGGTTTGTATGGGCCTGTGTGTACGTCGTATTTTTTGGGAGGACTGGCAGGCCAGGCACTGGGCAGCCCATTTCTTACATATCGGTCTTGATGCCGGGCCAGACGACATGTTGCGGAGGAGGCTGGGAGCCCTTTTGCGGGTGGCTGAGACCATGGATGCGGTTGAAAACAGCGGAGGTGGAGCCGAGAGGCACAGACGGTCCGGGCTGTCCACAGAATCATTCGCACCACAACTTGATGTTCATGCGGGGAATAGGGAGTTCTGGAGTGTGAGGCCTGAGGAGATGTCTTTTGCATGCTGCCAGGTCTTCGTCATTCTCTTGAGAGCGGTGGCGAGCTGCCTGTAATCAATGGGTGGGAGATGAGGGGAAGAATGCTATATGAGGTCTGTCGGAAAGTATCCAGCCATTACTATTAAATAAATATTATACCTAGGACAATTGGCGCTTACTTAGTCTCTCATATTACTCCCCTTGGGACCACATACTTCTCCCAGCGTCCACTTCACTTTTCAAAACAGTCTGCAAAGTCCTCTTTGGGGTCTTCATCATTCCTCGTGCATTCTCCTTAATCTCTGCCGTCCACATTCCTCCCTTTCAGACGATCTTAGCTTTGAGAAAAGCCAGAAGTCACAGGGCCGTAGGGGGGGCTGTAGGGGGGCTGAGAGACCTGGGTGATGCAATGTTTTGCCAAAAAACCCTGCTCGAGATGTGAAGAATGGGCAGGCGCGTTGTCATGATGAAGCTGCCAGTCACCACTTGCCCACAGCTGCGATGGTTTCTTCTTATCCATCCCTCAGCCGGCGAAAAACTTTGATGTATTACTCCTTCGTTATTGTTTGGCCTGGACGAGATTAAGGAAAATGCGACGAGGCAGCTGATGGAGATCCCGAGGACTTTCTGGGCTTTGATAAGGTGGAAGAGACGCTAGAGTCCCAAGAGCGTCGGCGATCTCGTTGTGGCTGCTTTTAATGTGTTGGACGTCGCTGGAGAACTCCGAGATGTAACCCAAGTGGCGAAGGACATGAGGTGTATATGACTGGGAGGCTGAAGCAAAGGTGTGGACGAGGGGCTTGTGATCAGTGAAGATGGTGAACTGACGGGCCTCGAGGAAGTGCTGGAAATGCTTGACAGCCAGGTATACGGCTAGGAGTTCTCGATCGAAGGCGCTGTACTTGAGGTGTGGTGGTTGAAGCCGTTGTGAGAAGAAGGCAACGGGCATGAGAATTCAGTTGATCTCCTGCTTTAAGACGGCGCCCACGCCAGTAGAAGAAGCGTCTGTTGTGAGAGTGGTCCGGGCGTTAGGTGCGAGGTGGGCCAGGAGGGTAAGGCATGTGATGTGCTGTTTGATAGTGGTGAATGCCGTAACAGCCTCTTGAGTCCACACAAGAGGCTTGTGAGACGTCTTTGGGAGTCCCTTTAGAAGGTCATAGAAGGGGACTAGGACGGTGGCAGCGTTGGCAATGAAGCGGTGGTAGTAGTTGACTAAACTCAGGAATTCTCGGAGTTTCTTCGCCGTTTCAGGTTTGGGGAACTCCCTTATGGCAGTTATCTTCTGTGTTAGGGGTTGGATGCCACTCGGCGAGACTCTGTGACCGAGGAAGTCGATGGAGGAGGCTCCGAAGACGCACTTAGCAGGGTGAACTTTCATGTTGTTGTTCTACAGGCGTTGGAGAAGGAGTTGTAGGTGGTGGTGATGCTCGGCAGGCGTCGACGATGCGACAAGAATGTCGTCTATGTAGACGGTGACAAAATTGAGGTTGCGAAGCATATGGTCCATGTACCTCTGGAAAGTCTGGGCTGCATCGCGTAGGCCAAAACTCATGAAAGTATACTCGAAGAGTCCGAACGGAGTGGTGATGGCTGTCTTCTGGGTATCTGCAGGTGCTACTAGGATCTGGAGGAAGGCACACTCCAAGTCGATCTTCGAGAAGATGGTCTTGCCATGAAATTTGTGGTGGAAGTGCTGGACATGCAGAATAAGGTACCTGTCACGTTTGGTGACGAGGTTCGGGGCTCTGTAGTCACCACACACCCTCCAGTCGCTGGATGATGGCTTAGGAACCATGTGAAAAGGCGATGCCCAGGGACTCTTAGAAGGACGAATGATGCCGTCTTGCAGTAGTCTGTTGAATTCCGCCTTGGCTGTGTTCAGGAGCCCAGGGCGCAGGCGGCGGGGGCGTGATAAGACTGGAGGTCCTTTGGGCTCGATGTGGTGGAAAATTCCCGACGTAGGTGGAGAGGGTGGAGAGACTCGGGGTGAGAAAAATTCCTTGAACTCTATGAGCAGTGGGGAGAACTCGTTGGACGGCGAGAGACATGTGATAGTGTCGGTGTCTTTGGCATGTGAACCCTGGATCTTGTGTGATGTAGGCTCATGGAGGAGGCAAAGATGGCTTGGGTCGACGCCGAGCTTATGGAAGGTGAGGAAGTCGAAGCCAAGGATGGGTTGAGACACGTCTGCGACCACGAATGACCAGCGCAGAGTCTTGGGAAGACCGAGGTCTAAGGCGAGGATGTGTGCGCCGTAGGAGGCAATGGGGGTACCGTTGGCGGCAAACAGGTCATAAGAGGGTTGCTTTGACGTGTTTTGTAGTGAGGGAGGGATGAGGCTGACCGATGAACCTGTGTCGACGAGGAATTTCATGCCATAGGTGAGGTCGGTGACGTGCAGTAGTGAGACGCCCGAAGGGACGGGGGCTGAAGCGTCTACCAATCCCCGTTCTTGCCGTTTCCCGAGTAGATGCAGTGGGGCTCACAGTGTTGAGCACTGGAGCCGAAACGTCTGTGATACCAGCAGAGGGTAGATCTGTTGTGCTGGGGGCTGGCGGCGGTTTCCGGGGCAGGAAGGGCGCGTTGGGGATTGTAGGGCACTATGCGTGAGTCAGGAACAGGCCCAAGCAGGCATGGAGGAGCAGAACTGTTCAATGGTGTCCATCCTGCGGTTCAAAGTTTGCAACAGGTCCCTCATGTCTTGTGAGGTATTGCTCGGCTGAGGGGTGTGGTCGTTGGGTTGTCCGCAGCGGCAAGGCATGCAGCAGCTCACTCGTTGAATATTCTGTCTGCCAAGGTTGCGTAGAGTTCTGGTGTCATAGAGTAATCTACTGCGGACAGGGTGATGCGTACTTGTGTGGGGAGCTTTTGTGCGTGAAGCTGGTGCAGGATAGAGTCGGGAAGTCTGTCTGTGTGCAGGGAGTTCAGCCTACACATCTCCTCCCAGAGAAGTCCTGGAGTTGAGTTTCCAAGGGAGATAGAGGATAGGTTCTGCAGGAGACTGGGGCGGGTCCATTGGTAACGCGTCTTTAAGGCATCCCGCAGGGTAGTGCATTTTTTGTTATCT